GGAGGGGCTCTCAGTTCGGCTGAGGTGGGAGAGGCAAGAGGCATCGGTGAGGAGCAGGGAGCGCCCGCCTCCTAAAGATGAGGGCAGGCCTCAAGGCAGTCAGAAGACATCAGCAGATACTTTCTCCAAAGATGGCCAAGGAGGGCACCCCCCACCCCCTGTGTGCCTCCCACCACAACGCTGCAAGAGACCAGGCTATGCTTACACAGGGGATGGAGGAGAGGACCCAGGAAGATGCCCCAAGCTAACCCCAGGGACTAGCGTCTCTTGGTTAGAGGAGGTGTCAGCCCTACAGAAGGCTCCCCTTTTATTTCCTCCTTGGTTGTTTTTTTCTGGAGAGGGGAACATTGAGGCATGTCTGGGATCTCAGACAGTCAGCCTGTGGAATGTGACAGCTAGGAGAGGAATTGAGTGTGAGGGGCTCTCCTAAGGGCAGCCGCATGGAGCTGGCTCTGCACCGCTGTCCCCATCACCCGGGCACCCCGTCCTCACCTCCACCCCCTGCCGACGCCACAGCATGCCCACGCTCCAGCAGGACCCTCCCTTGGTGGGCTCTCCCACTCCCGCCAGGGCTGAGTCGCCAGAGGCCGGTGTCCTGAGCAGATGGCCTGTCTCCCCTGGGATTTTGCACTCAGGAAGTGACAAACACTTCGAGGGCCTCTTGACCATACACTGTTTCCTCTCAGACACCAGCTCCTGTGTTTGTAAATAGCCCAACTACTTGGGGCGCCCAATTGCACTGGAGAGGGATACTCGCCAGCTCTAGCTCCTGCCCCCACACCTTCCCCCATCCTTATTTCCCCAGCTTAGGCCAGGGTGGCCCCACGCCCCCCACCGCCCCCCATCCCACGTGTTCACAAACTCTGCATCCATCATCCTTGTGTGTAGTTTATGGTGTGTGTGGAGTCTGGTATGTATATGTGCATGCACACAGGGCCTCTCTCTTGGGGGTCTGAGCAGGGGGAGGGTGCGATCCAGTGAGGGGCCCCTCGTGGGGGGGGGCGGAGGGGGAACTGCGGAAGGAAGTGGGTGGGGGACTCCCATCACCCCTCCAAGGACTGGGTGTAAGGATGAGGGGGACTGGCTCCAGGCCCAGATGGCTGCATCAGTACTGAGTATGGAATAAGTGACCCTGACCCTGACCCAGCCCCCTGGTGGAGGGTCTGCTTCATCCTGTCTCGGAAAACCAAGATCTGCTGTCTGGGTGTCTGAAGACAAGCCGAGCCCTCCACAGCCTGGAGCTGGGCCAAGGAGACAGGAACTCTGTGGGGAGAAGGGTGCGGGGTGGGGGGTGGTGAGTGCTGCAGACGAATGGGGCTCCTAGGCCTGGAAGCAGTCAGGGCTGTCAGCGTTTTTCCCTTACCCCCAAGACAGAGAGGTGGAGGAGGGGCCCTCTGGCTCCCTGCCCCCCAGCCCAAGTTTAGGGGGGCTGGCAGTGACCTTGACTCCTGGCTTGAGTCCAGGTTAGAACTAGAAATGCAAGGTGGGGGTGGGATCTCCTTCCATGCTCAAAGTTCCCTTGGGGCCTCTTCCCAGAGACACCTCACCTGGAAGGCCCCCCTCCTCTGTCTTACCTACCCCGTTTCTCCTGGGGTCTCACTTTCCTCAATGCCATCCCCCTCAAGCCAGCATCACCAGCAGCAAGGGGACCTGTCCTGGGAGGAAGTCTTCACTGGACTGCCGCCCAAGCCCCCACCCAGACTCTGTGCAATCCCTCCTTCAGTCCCCACTCAAAACCAAGCTCACCGCCATCGAGCCCATCCTGGCTCACAGCGACCCTACAGGACTGGGTAGAATTGGCCCTGTGGGTTTCCCGAAACTGTAACTCTTCACGGGAGTAGAAAGCCTTGTCTTTTTCGCTCAGAGCGGCTGGTGGATTCAAACTGCAGACCTTGTGGTTAGCAGCCCAGTGCATAACCCCGATGCCACCAGGACTCCTTTGACCCTCATCAGTACTCCATCCTTCGGTCCAACACCTACATGCTCCTCACTTGGTGGGTGGGAAGTCAAGGCACAAGAAGTTAAGTCACAAAACCAGTTGGTGGGGGGAGGTGGCAATCTAACCCCTGTGCAGGTGGGGAGAAAACAGCTGGAGGGAGGGGAGAGCCGGGTGCTGCAGGCAGGGGAGCTGTGCTCTAAAGTTCAGGGGTTGGACTGAATTTGGTGCGGATGGCCTCACCCTCCACCCACCCTTCAAAAAGTGCACCCTAGACTCTGGCCTGAATTCCTCTTGCTGAAGTGGTAGCTCTGCCTGTCACGGGAGCAACAGGGAAATGGGTCCTAAAGTCCAGGGTGGCCAGAGATGGGGCTGCTTTCCATTGTGCCTGGTTAGGATTAGGCAGGGGCTTTGTGAGGGTAATCTCTGGATTGCCTGCTCCCTCCAGTTTCCTGGTGATTGTTACTGATTGCAGCCAGATTATCCGCAGAAATCCCTTCCCCTCACCTGGCTGCCTCAGGACCCCTTCGTGTTGCCTGTACCTTGGAATGTCATGTGTTTCCTGTCCGCTCCCCCACCCACCCACCCACTGTACCTATGGGTATCCGCTGTACTTGAGAAAGCATGTTGGGACTTCCTGACATGGGAAGTGGTTAATAGTGGCCCCAGCACAGGTTTTACCGTCCATGCCTTCGATATGCCTCTGGTTCTAGAAACGCATGCCCTCCGGCTCATGGCCGTTCCCAGACCCACCGTGGACTCTGAGCGTGCTCCTCCTGGCCGTGCAGGGAAATCAGTAGCAGCAGCCACAGGCGGGGGCTGAGCAGGGTGCAAGGGCCTGTGTGAGCGCATGCCGGTCAGTCCCTTGGTCGGGTCCTGCTCATGTGTCTTGTCTGTCAAGTCTGCCAGACTGTCCGTTTGATGATCTGTGACTACCTGCCTCCCCTCCAAGCCACCAGCGGTGATCCTCAGTCACCGTGGTGAGCTGGTCTTTTGTCGGGAAGGGCCCATGTGTCAACCAATCGTTGGGGGCTGGTGAAAGCCGCAGACACGCAGGGGCCTCTGTTAGCTGGGAAAATATAATGTGTTCATCTGTTTTGAGAGAGAGATGGGCAGAAGGAGACAGGTAGTGGGGAGGGGACATGGTGGGGAGTAAGGACAGTCAGATGACTGTACGTGGTGTTGATGGCAGTTATGGTGGTGGTGTGGTGATGGTGTGAATGCTTCCTTTGGTAGTCATGGTGCAAGCCAGAGTGAAGGGTAATGGTGGAAGTCACATGAGGTGATGGTGAGGACGCAGGACCAATTGTACTGCTGCTGCTGCTGCTGCTGCTAGCACTGGAGGTTGTCATGGTGCAGGTGCTGGTAATGATTGTGGCCATCATGGTGGTGGTGATAAAGATGAAGATGATGGTGGTGGTTGACTGAGATACTAGTGCTGACGATGGAAATGGCAGTGAGGAGGTGCTGTAATGCGGCCTTGGTGGGCAGGACATCTGTCCAGGAATCAGACCCCCATAGCAGCTTGCATTCCCAATGATAAAGAGACACAGTGAGGGTCTCCGGATGGGATGGGGCAGGGGCTCTGGGCGTGCAGGCCCTCTGCCCTGCCTCCCGCCCCAGCGCCAAGAGCCCCGCCCACCAGGGTTTCTGCTCAGCTCCACTGGCTCCCTAGAGGGTAGAGAAGGTAGAGGGGCCATGGGGACAGCCAGCACTTGGAAATCTGCTTCAGCAGCTTCCAGGGAGCCCATGGGCATTGGGACCCCCTGAGAGCCCTTGGTCCACGCGACCCCACAGACGCACGCTGCCGAGAGCAATCACATCAGACACGCCTCAAGGCTCACATGCGGGTTTGGGCCCAGAAGCACGTGCGCGTAGGCACGCCCACAGCCGCGTCAGGCCCGTGTACCCAAATCCACACGCTGGTCAACCCTCAGGTGAGGAAGAGCAGAGACAGATGCTCACGCTAGTGCACACACCAGAACCGACGGGGACGCGCGCCTCCACTACGTGAAACCAGTAGAGCCCAGGTCCCGCGGAGCCAAGTGGAGACTCCTTGGCCCTGGAAGCCCAGGGCTCTGCTGCCGCCCAGAGACGCGGTCAATTAACTTCTCCCGGCTCCCTGACCCACCCGGCCTCCTCCGGGTCCTCCCGCCGGTCCAGCTCCGCTCCCACGGAGGGGACGCTGTCAGGAAGCACAAACCTAGACCCTCTCCGGGAGCCGCTACAAAGGAGCCCACCTCTCTGCCGGACGGCCCCTCTCCCCTCCTTCACCGAGGGCCGGGAGTCCCAGTGGGCGGAGGCCGAGGCCTTCGGGCCTGTTGGTTGGAAGGAAAGGAAGGCGGGGTGTTGCAGAGGGAGCCCTGGGAGCAGGGGCCCGCCCCTCTAGCCTCAGCCGACAGACAACCGCCGAGCCAGAAAGCTGGGTGGGTGTGGGTGCGCTCAGAGGCACCCGCTCACCTTTCATGGGGAAAGCGCTGAGGCTAAGGCGGGGGGGGGTATCCCAGAGCTTTCCAGGGCACCACGATTTGAGGGAGTGCAGGCCTGCGCCTGTGCCCCTCACCACTCTTCATCCTCCACTCCCCGC